CATATCCTGCAGGTCATCGCGCGAGCTTCCGCAGCCGTGGGCAGCGCAGTGCGGCCCACCACGCTGCGGGCCCGTCTGTTGCCAGAGCGGCCATGGCCGACCGAGCCGTCGGAGGCGAGCCAGTCGCCCCCCCCAGACACACGCATGCAGCGGAGCTCGGCTGCCGCGTCATTGCCACTGCGGACTGCGGGCCCCAGGATTCACCACCATCGGGCCCACCTGTCAGAGGAGGGAAAGGCACCCATACCGCTACCCTTCGCCCGTTTTCCCCTTTCGGCCTGCGGGAGGCCCTCGTCGCCACCTCTTGATTCGCCTCGAAGTCCTGGTCAGCACCCAAGGAGAGGTCCAGGGAGTAGCGGTATCGGTACCTTTTGGTTCCCCAATCTGGATTTTGAGAGAGACGTGCATCCGACTGATTGCTCTCAGAGGCAGCTCTTGTTTTCAGGACGCTCGCCTCACGGGCCGCTCTGTCAGGGCCGGCTGCTACGCACATTCATTGAACGCGGCGCCCCACTCAGTGGACTACGCATCGTTTCAACACCACTTTTCCACGGTACGACATTAAAATGACTAGCCAGTGCTCAAATCCGTGGTACATACCGCATGTTCAGCGCACAGCCTGGGTTGGTCAGAAAATCCATGACGGCCAACGCCACGCGACACATTTATGGCTCACGCAGGACTTCGAAAACGCAGTGCATGGAGGAGGGGGCGCAGGAGGCGGAAGCTTGATGGTCAAATCATGCCTCAGCACATTGCTCACTAGGTGCGCTTTTTGGCCCTAAGCATTCCTAGGTGATTGCCTCAATCCTGTTTCACACTGTTTAAAGGCGAACGAGCAGGGGTGCTGTGACGACATGGTGGACGGGGTCGAGGGGGAGAAGTTCTGTGTTTTGCTTGTGCTTCTACTTGTCGGGGCTGAGTGCTTCGCCCTCATTGTCGCCCCCCTCCCCTTCCCCGTCTCCTCACTTACTCTTTATCGACGACGCCTACGTCGAATCACCGCCGCCCCTTGCCTTTGGAATCGCCCATGTGGCCGAGCGTTGTGGCAAGAGCTCTGCGACGCTATCGGGCCATGTGTTTTCCCAGCCATTGTGGGAACCCTTCGGGGAATACTTGGGGGAGGATGGCGGGGAAGATCAGGAGGAGGCGGAGGAGGAGAAGGAGGGGGCATCTTGGGAGCCTATGGGGGCACTCATGGGGCCTCATTTGAGCTTCCTGGGAGCCTCCTGGAGGCGTCTTGGGGGCCTCCTTGGGCCTCTTGGGGTCCTTTGGGGGCTTCTCGGGGGCCTCTTTGGCAGTCTTGGTAGGTTTCTGGCCCGTCTGACGCCGTCTGAAGCCGTCTTGGGGGCCTTTCTGGGCCGACTTTGGGCCCTTCTGGAATGCTCCAGGGCCGTCTTGGAGGCCATCTTGGGCGCCTTGGAGGCCCCTTGGGCCGTCTTTGGGCCCTCTTGGGGCCGTCTTGGGGGCCTTTTGGGCCGTTCTGGGGCCTTCCTGGAGACCTGGTGGGCGATCTTGGGGCGATCTTGGGGGGCTCGTGGGCCGTCTCGGGCCGTCGGTAGCCGAAAAGAAGCAAATACCAAAATTCGTGAACAACCTACGGAAACTCAACGATGCTGGCCTGTTCGGGCCTTCGTGGAGGCCTTCTTGGCGGCCTCTTGGGCAGTCTTGGGCCATCTTAGAGCCATCTTCGGCCGTTTTGTTGGGCTCCTGGCCTGTCTGACGCCGTCAGAAGCCGTCTTGGGGGCCTCTCTGGGCCGACTTGGGGCCCTCTTGGGGTGTTCCAGGGCCGTCTTGGAGGCTTCCTTCAGCGTGTCAGAGGCCACTTGGGCCGTCTTTGGGCCCTCTGGGAGCCGTCTTGGGGGCCTCCTGGGCAGTCGTGAGGCCATTTTGGAGGCCTCTTGGGCGCTCTGGGGTCGATCTTGGGGGCCTCTGGAGCCGTCTTGGGCCGTCGGAAGGCTGAAAAAAAGCAAACACGAACATCCTTGAAAAACATCAGAAAATCAATGATTTTAGCCTCTTCGGGCCCTCCTGGAGGACCTTGGGGGCCTCTTAGGCACCTCTTGGGCAGTCTTGGACCGTACTTGGAAGTATCTTGGACCCTCTTGGGCCGTCTTGGAGGCCATCTTGGACCATCTCAGGCGGACTTGGAGGCCATCTTGGGCTATCTTGGCCGTCTTGGAGACATTTTGGAGTCCGTTTGGGGCCATCTTGGGCGTGAAAGGCATTGACTGGCGTATTTTCCGGGTGGCTGGCGGGACGGGCCGAAGCTCCAGGGGAGAGTTCTTTTGGCAAGAGAACCAATACCAAAACCGAAAGGGTCCAGCACGCCGGGCACCCCTGTGGCAAGTTAACAGGGGGGGCGGCGGATTTCCTCCGAAACGGGATTTATCGAAGACGCCTATGGCGAATCACCGCCGCCCCCTGCTTTTGTGGAAGCGCCTATGTGTCCGACAGCTGGGCTAGAGCTTGGCCAAGCCATCGGACCATATGTTCCCCGAGTCGGTTTGGAAAGGTTTCGGGGAACACGGGGGGGAAGAAGGAGAGGAGGAGGAGAAGGAGGAAAAAGGAGAAGGGGGTTGCTCTTCGGAGCCTATTGAGGCACTCTTGTGCTCGAATTGACCATCTTGGGACCGTCTTGGAGGCCATGCTGGGGCCATCTTGGGCTCTCTTGGGGCCTGTTGAGGGCCTCTTGGGGCCCTTTTGGGGCTTCTCGGGGGCTTCTTTGGACGTTTTATGGCGTTCCTGGCCCGTCTGACCCCGTCGGGAGCTGTCTTACAGGCCTCTCTGGGCCGATTTAGCCATCTTGGGGCGCTTCGGGTTCGTCTTGGAGGCCATCTTGGGCGTATTGGAGGCCTCTTGGGCCGTCTTGGGGCCCTCTTGGGGCCGTCTTGGGGGCCTCTTGGGCTGTCATGGGGCCATCTTGGAGGCCTCGTGAGCGATGTTGGGGCGATCTTGGGGGCCTCTTGGGCCGTCTTGAGGTCTTCGGAAGGCCGAAAAGAAGCACATGCTAAAATCCTCTTCGGGCTCTCCTTGAGGACCTCTTGGAGGCGTCTTGGGGGGCTCTTGGGGGCCTCTTGGGCCGTCTTGAACCATCTTGAGCCTATCTTAGGCCGTCTTGGAGGCACCTTGGGCCATCTTGGAGGCATCTTGGGGCCATCAGAGCCGTCTTGGAGGCCATGTTGACCGTCTTGGAGGCGTCTTGGAGGCCATCTTGGGCCGTCTTGGAGCCGTCTGGATCAGGAAACACCTTTGGCAACCACCTTTGGGCAATCTGGAAGATCTTTCTTGGTGGCCGGCGGGACGGGTCGAAGCCCCAGGGGGGAGTTCTTTTAGAAAAAGAACCAATACCAAAACCGACAGGGTCTAGCACGCCAGGCACCCCTGCGATGAATCGACGGGGGGCGGCGGATCGAATGACCCACGCCCCATCCCGCCACCGTGCCTGTGTTGAGGTATGGAGCCTATTGGATGTTCGTTAGGATCTCGTGGAAGGCCTCTCGGGGGCCTCTTGGAGGCAGTTTGGAGGCCTCCTGTGGGGCTATTTAGGAGCCTCTTGGGGCCTCTTTGGGGGCCTCCTGGGGCCTCCTGGGCGCCTCTTGGGGCCTCCTGGAGGCCTCTTGGGGCCTCCTGGGGGCCTCTTGGGGCGGAAGGCTCGGATTTTCGATTCGTGTTCCATCTCTTGGGGTCTTTTGGCCAGCCTTGAGCACCTCTTGGGCCGTCTTGGGCCCCTCTTGGGCCGTCTTGGGGCGCTCTTAGGCCGTCTTGGGGCCCTCTCAGAGGCTTCTTTGGCCGTTTTGGGGTGGTCTCGGGGGCTTCTTGGGCCGTCATGGAGCGTCGGAAAGCTGAGAAGGCGAGAACTCCAAAGTCTGTCAAACACCGATGATGTACCATTAGCGATTTCTGTCTCTTGGGGCTCTCTCGGGTGGGCTCTCAGAGGCCTCTTCGGGCGTCTTGCGGGCCTCTTGGGCCTGTTGGGTCCATCTTGGGCATATTGGAACGATTATTGGGCGTCTCGGGGCCCTCTTGGGCCGTCTTGGCGGTCTCTTGGAGCCGTCTTGTCCTGTCTTGGGGTCCTTTTGGACCCAGAAAAAAACAGTCATGCGGAAAGCCCGAAGAGATTTCGAACATTGGGGTCCGGGCCCCTAAGAGACCTCTCAGGTCTGAAGACTGACGCGCAGAGGATGAGGCAAAGGACCTGAGGACACGCCCACTCCGTGCCCAGCGGCACTGTGACTGATCTACAACTACCGCCTGGGGCTCGATCTTTGGGGACCTTGGCAGGCGGTGGGTATTTATTTTTTAGGCCCTAAGCAGGGGGCCAGGCATGTCAATATCCACCGCCTGCCGAGGTCCCCGAAGATCAATCACCCAGGCGGTGTGGTGATATGGATGAAACCACTCGTTGCCTGGCTTTCGGATCACAGCTCGGGTCTCCAGCTGCCGTTCGGGACGAGGCGGGCCCCCCCGGACGCCTTTCGGCCAGGCGCAGCTGCTGGAAAGCATCCCGAGGCTGGAGCACCGCCGCGAACCAACGCACACTCCGAAACTCTCGAACCTCGAACCTAGGATTCATCTCGCGCTTCCTCTTCCCTCGTCCTTTCTATGGCCCCCCCTATAAAAATCAGCAACCCCCCGCCCTCCCTGCCCCGAGCTCCGAGCAGGGGGGCTTGCCAAAGCTCGCGCTCGCTACCCTCCAGTCTCGAGGACTCGCAAAAATGGGTTCCGTGGATGGAGCGTGGACTCGCGAGGACCAGCAAGGTGCGTGGATTAGCGGCGAGTCCCGTTCCTGTGCAACATCGGCGCGGTCCATTACCAAATCACGTGGCATTGGCACCACGTTTCCAGGGTTGCTTGCGCCCACGCGTCAGTATGCGTAACCCATGTTAGCGTGCGCTCGACAGACATATCACATTATTCTTCCAATCAACTGCTGGTCCAGTGTGAGTTGGCCGCAGCGCCCACCCCCAAAGTGGGATCAACCCCTCCCCTCTGGGAAGGAGCATGTGCCTCAACCTGCTCTTCAACGCGACTGGGGACCAGACTCCAGAGGAGTCCGCCGTGAAGGAGGAGGGGGAGGAGTGAGAGGAGGAGGAGGAGGAGGAGGAGGAGGAGGAGGAGGAGGAGGAGGAGGAGGATGAGGAGGAGGAGGAGGAGGAGGAGAGGAGGAGGAGGATGAGGAGGATGAGGAGGAGGAGGAGGAGGAGGAGGAGGAGGAGGAGGAGGAGGAGGATGAGGGAGGAGGAGGAGGGAGGAGGAGGGGAGAGGAGGAGGGGAGGAGGAGGAGGAGGAGGAGGAGGAGGAGGAGGAGAGAGTAGGAGGAGGAGAGGAGGAGGAGGAGGAGGAGGAGGAGGAGGAGGAGGAGGAGGAGGAGGAGGAGGATGAGGAGGAGGAGGAGGGGAGGGAGGAGGAGGATGAGGAGGAGGAGGAGGAGGAGGGAGGAGGAGGAGGAAGAGGGGAGGAGTAGGATGAGGAGGAGGAGGAGGAGGAGGAGGAGGAGGAGGAGCGGAGGAGGAGGAGGAGGAGGAGGAGGAGGAGGAGGAGGAGGAGGAGGAGGAGGGGAGGAGGAGGAGGGAGGAGGAGGAGGAGGAGAGGGAGGAGGAGGGAGGAGGAGGAGGAGGAGGAGAGGAGGAGGAGGGGAGGAAAGGAGAGGAGAGGAGGAGGAGGTGAGGAGGAGGAGGAGGAGGAGGAGGGAGGGGGGAAGAGAGGATGATTGTGAGGACGAGCAGGAGGTGGTGAGGATGGAATAAATAGGGAAAGGAGGAAGATGGGATGGTGGAGGAGGCGGATTAGGAAGAGAGGAGGAGGAGGGAGGAGGAGAGAGGAGGAGGAGGAGGAGGAGGAGGAGGAGGACGAGGAGGAGGAGGAGGAGGAGGAGGAATGGGCGGAGGAGGACGAGGCGAGGGAGCTTGTCAGGTTTTCCAGCCCTTTTGGGCAACCTGCATGGCCGATATTCCCGCCCTCGATGCCTTTCTGGCGTGTTGGAGCCCTCCTGGAGCCATCTCAGAAAGCATGATTGGCAGCTTGGCTGCCACGGAGGGTGGATTTGGAGGCTCCGAGGGCTCTGAACCCCCTTGGCCCCTTCGGCCCCCACCCCTCTTATCAGGTTTTTAGACCCCAGGGGAGGGGGAACGGGAGAGTGGGACAGCAAACAGTCTTACACGCCTCTTCATCGCTGGTATTGGTGGATTTAGTCTGGCAGTCAAGGTATTTGGGGTGTGTGGGTGCGCGCGCGCGCGCGCGCGCGCGCACGCGGCGTGTGTGTGTGTGTGTGTGTGGTGTGTGTGTGTGTATGTGTGTGTGTGTGTATGTATGTGTGTGGGTGTGCGTGTGTGTGTGTGGTTGTGTGGGTGTGCGTGCGTGGTGTTGTGTGTGTGTGTGTTGTGTGTGTGTCGGTGTGTGTTGTGTGTGTGCGGCGTTGCGTGCGTGCGTGCGTGCGTGCGTGCGGGGGTGTGTGTGTGTCGTGTGTGCGTGTGTGTGTGTGTGGTGTGTGTGTGGTGTGTGTAGGTGTGCGTGCTGCGTGGGTGCGTGGCGTTGTGTGTGCGTGCGTGCGTCTTGTGTGTGTGTGTGTGTGTGTGTGTGTGTGTGTGGTGTGTGTGTGTGTGTGTGTGTGTGTGTGTGTGTGTGCGTGCGTGCGTGCGTGCGTGCGTGCGTGCGTGCGTGTGTGTGTGTGTGTGTGGGTGTGTGTGTGTGTTTGTGTGTGCGTATGTTTTTGGCTGGGCGGTTTCCGCTGCAAGCATCATGTTCCATGATCTTGATTGTCATGACCATGTGTTTCCCAAACAGTGCTTGCACTCTGGGGTTCTCTTGCTTCTCTTGCTCAATGTCCGCCCCTGGTCGCCTCGTGGGCGCCTCGTGTTCGGTGGGTCAGCCGAGGTTTCGCCCGGTGCCCGCCCGTGCGAGCCTCGTTCACTGGGCGGGTCGGCACAGGCTTCGCCTGGTGCCCGCTCGTCGGCGCCTCGTGGGCGCGTCGAGCGCTGGCTGGGGTTTCGCCCGGTGCCCGCCCTTGGGCGCCTCGCGGGCGCCTTGTGCGCTCGGTGGCTGTGTCGAAGTTTCGCCTGGTGGCCGCCCGTGTGCGCCTCGTGTGTGCCTCGTGGGCGCCCCGTGCGCTGAGCGGCCGCGAAGATTGCACGACATTGCCACACAGGTTACACCACATAGCTTGAACCAGATAGCTGACTCCACGTATATTGCACCATACATATACGTACAAACATATGTATGTATGTGCATATCGGAGGTTGGGGGGTGAGATCGCAGTTGAACGGAGACCCCCAAGCGGAAAATCGTTTCGTTTCGTTCGTGTCGTCCGTGCGGGCGAGGCGAAGCTGCGTGGGCGCGCGAGAGGAATGAACCCGCCGTTGCTAGGGCGAAGTCAAGACACATGATTCTCCCCCGCCAGCTCGCCCGTCCAGCGGTGGCTCGCGGTGTCCAGCCATGTCCCGTGGTGCCCCGTGGTGTTCCGTGGAGTGCGCCGTTGCTAGTGCGAAGTCAAGACAAATTATTCTCCCCCGCCCGCCCGTCCGTCCGTCCGTCCGGCGGTGGCTCGCAGTGCCCCGCGGTGTCCCGTGGTGTCCAGTTGAGTGAGATCGATCGTGAGATCGATAGTGAGATCGATAGTGAGATCGATGTGGTGCCCCGAGGTGTCCCATGGTGTCCCGTGGTGTCCCGCTGAGTGAGATCGACAGTGAGATCGATAGTGAGATCGATACTGAGATCGATGTGGTGCCCCGAGGTGTCCCGTGGTGTCCCAAAAAGTGAGATAGATAGTGAGATCGATAGTGAGATCGGGAGGTGTCCCGTGGTGTCCCGTGGTGTCCAGTTGAGTGAGACCGATCATGAGATCGATCGTGAGATCTATAGTGAGATCGATAGTGAGATCGATGTGGTGCCCCGAGGTGTCCCGTGGTGTCCCAAAAAGTGAGATCGATAGTAAGATCGATAGTGAGATCGGGAGATGTCCCGTGGTGTCCTGTAATGTCCCGTGGTGTCCCGTGGTGTCCCGTTGAGCGAGATCGATAGTGAGATCGATAGTGAGATCGATACTGAGATCGATGTGCTGTCCCGAGGTGTCCCGTGGTGTCCTATGGTGTCCCGTTGAGTGAGATCGAAAGTGGGATCGATAGTGAGATCGATAGTGAGATCGATAGTGAGATCGATACTGAGATCGATGTGGTGCCCCGAGGTGCCCCGTGGTGTCCCAAAAAGTGAGATCGATAGTGAGTTCGATAGTGAGATCGACAGGTGTCCCGTGGTGTCCCGTGGTGTCCCGTGGTGTCCCATTGAGTGAGGTCGATAGTGAGATCGATTGTGAGATCGATAGTGAGATCGATGTGCTGTCCCGAGGTGCCCCGTGGTGTCCCGTGGTGTCCTATGGTGTCCCGTTGAGTGAGATCGATAGTGAGATCGATAGTGAGATCGATAGTGAGATCGAGAGGTGCCCCGAGTTGTCCCGTGGTGTCCCAAAAAGTGAGTTCGATAGTGAGATCGGAGAGAGCGTGATCCACTGCCTCTTTACTGCGGAAAATTGCCGCCCTTTCCCTCCGGAACCCGGGGGTCCCCCCCCCCTCCCGAACCCCCCCCCCCCCCCTCCCCCTGCTGGAAACCCCTTCCCCCCCCCCCCCTTCCCCCGGCTCCCCCCCCCCCTCCCCCCCCCTCGAACTCGAAAACCGGGAGGGGTCACTACCGGTTCGAACCCCCCCCCCCTCGAAAACCGGAGGGGGGGGTCACTACCGGTTCGAACCACTGAGCTGTCCCACTGTTCCCACCACTGTCCCCACTGTCCCCACCACTGTCCCCACTGTACCTCTGTCCCATTGTCCCACCGCCGTTCTCGCCACCGCCTTCACCACTGTCCCCACCACCACTGTACCCTCCACTGTCCCACTGTTTCCACCACATTCCCACTGTCCCCACACGCTGTCCCCACCACCACCGTCCCCACCACTGTCCCACTGTCCCCACTGTTCCCACCATTGTCCTCACCATTGTCCCCACCACTACCGTCCCCACCACTGTGTCCCCACCACTGTCCCGCTGTCCCCTCACCACTGTTCCCACCACCACAGTCCCCACCATTGTCCGCACCCCCCCTCGGTTTTCGAGGGGGGGGGGTTCGAACCCGTAGTGACCCCGCTCGGTTTTCGAGTTCGAGGGGGGGGGGGTTCGAACCGGTAGTGACCCCCCCCCCTTTTCATGATGAACTTGGGGGGGGGGGAGGGTTTCGAACCGGTAGTGACCCCCCCCGGTTTTCCGGACGGGAGGGGCTACTGCGCGAGGCCCCCGGGAAGTGAACCGGGCAGCAGCCCGAGCGCGGCGGGCGCGGCACCTGGTCCGCGAAGGAGCTTATTCCAAGGCCGTGAGCTCCCTTCACACCGAGGTGGCCGCATTCGAGCCCGAGGAGCAGGCTTCCTGGGGCCGCGAGCTCCTCCCCTCCAGCTCCGAGCCTGCCGCGGCCCTCAGCGCGCCGGACGGCGGTGCCCTGCGGCCAGCTCCCGAGGAAGCTGGCGGCCGCCCGCCCGGGCAAGGGGCGCTCGCCGGCGTGCGCTTCAAGGCGTGTTCCGGGCCGGGGCCCTCCGGCGCCCGCCCCGAGCACCTCCGGGAGTTGTCCGCCTGCCGCGACCGCCGGGCTGCCTCCCGGCTGCTGCGAGCCATCGCCGTCTTCTCGGAGGAAGCGACCGGCGGCCGTCTTTGCGCTGAGGCACGCTGGACATTGGAGAGCCGTTTGGTGTTCCTTCGCAAGAAGAGGGGCGCCGCCCCACGCCCAATCAGGGTGGGGGAGCTTTGGCGCCGGGTAGTGGCCAAGAAGCTGATCCACGCGCACCGGGAGACAATCCAGGAGCGGTGCCTAGCTGCGCGGCAGTTCGGGGTCGGCGTGCCGGCGGGCACAGACGCTCTTGTCCACTGGCGCATTGTGCTGGAGGAACTCCTGGAGGAGGGTTGCGGCCACCCTGATGGCGACCCGTTGGCTGTAATCGACGTGGACCTTAAAAATGCGTTTCCTTCTTTGGAGTGGTCGTACATCCGCGCCGCCGTCGCCGAGGAGCTCCCCGCTCTCCTGCC